AACATTTCTTCATGTGCTTGTTGGCCATCTGAATGTCTTCTTTGGTGAAGTGTCTGTTCATATCCTGTGCCCGTTTTTCTATTGGATTATTTACCTTTATCTTGTTTTATAAACTTCTGGATATAAGTCCCTTATCTGTCATTACCAAAATTCTTTTTCCCAGTCTGTGGCTTCCCTTTTTACCCTGTTGGAGAGGTTTTTAGATGTGCATAGGGATTTGATTCTTAGAAGATCCCATTCATCTATTTTATCTTCTCCTGGTTGTAGGTTTTTCAGAACACTTGGAAGTCTGTTTATGTTGTGGACTAGGACTTGTAGCGTTGTCTCAAGCTTTTCTTTAATGAAGCGTATGGTCCTTGGTTTTAGTCCTAGGTCCATGATCCACCTTGAGTTGGTTTTTGTATATGGAGTGAGGTGTGGATCTTGCTTGAGTCTTTTGCAGACACTTTTTCAATTTTGCCAACATCATTTGTTAAAAAGGCTGTCATTTCTCCACTTAACTGATTTCATCTCCTTGTCAATAATCAGTTGACCATAGATAGATGGGCTGATCAGTTCTCATTCTATTCCATTGATCTATGTGCCTCTCATTGTACCAGTACCATGCTATCTTATCCACCATGGCAGTGTAGTAGAATTTGAAATCAGGGAGTGAGATACCTCCTACTTTTCTTCTATTTTTAAGGAGTGCTTTGCTTGTTTGGGGCTTCTTTCCATTCCAAATGAAACTGGAAATTGCTTTTTCCATCTCCTTGAAGAATGGGATTGGTATTTGTATTGGGATTGCATTAAACGTGTAAATTGCCTTTGTTAGTATTGCCATTTTCACAATATTGGGTCTTCCTATCCATGAGCAAGGGATATTCTTCCACTTATCCTGGTCTCTTTTTGTTTTTTGTAGTAATGTTTTGTAATTTTCTTTTTATGATCCTTTGTGCTTCTGGTTACATTTACTGCCAAGTATTTAATCTGGTGATTAGCTATTGTGAAGGGTATTGTTTTTCTGAGCTCCAGCTCTGTATTCTCTTTGTCACTGTAGCGAAATCCAACTGATTTTTGTTATGTTGATCTTGTATCTTGCTACTTTGCTGAACTGGCCCACTGTGACCAATAGTTTTCTTGCTGAGTCTTTGGGGTTTTATAAGTATACTATCATATCATCTGCATAGAGAGATAATTTTACCTCCTCTTTGCCAATTTGGATACCTTTTAT